TTCCGTCATATATAAATTTTACTGAAGAAAATTTAAAACTGTGTAGCAAAGAATGTACATGATATGAGAGCACAAATATGTTCACATGGACAATATACTATTTGGATATTCTATGCATATTTAATAGAGCTCATGCAGATATTTCATTTTTACTTTCAAACGGTCATATAATATGCATATTGGAATCAATCAGGTCTGAAAAGATGACAGAGTAGTTTGGATTGACTTGTGAAGATTAAACTATTTTCATATATTTTTTTCCTACAAATTTATCTTTCATGCCTGTATTTACATCAGATAATGGTCAGTATGACAATTTTTTAACTTTAATTAGCACAGCATAGCATAGTGCCGTTGTTACTGAGAGGTGGATGGGAAAAAAAGAACTAGCTATTATGCACAGAATGATTCTAAAATACATAGCAAAAAATATAAAGTTGGTTAGAGGAGACCGAAATAAGCAGATTTTGTAATGAATGTGTGCATGTAAGAGTAAAGAGCACTGTTGAAATCGGAAGGTAAAAGCGGTTCGCTAACGTAAACTGTCATAATCGTTAACCGAAATGTGGAACTCCCTGACATGCATTTTATCTACGTAGCTATGAACAAAATTTCAGCAGCTGCTCAACGAATGTATTGAGAACGATTCTCGACGAAAGCTGCCGAATCACCAACAGTTAGATCATATTAACCTGGACTTGTGCGAAAGTGGCTTGTTCCGTGTTTAAATGTGGTTTGACTATGGTAAGACAACTCAGAATTCCTGCAATAGAAGAAGCTGCAATATGCATATTTGAGGACAATTGTACTATAAGCACAAGAGCTGATGAATGTGAGACTTTTGTGAGCCAACTAATCTTCAGGATGACTTTATTTGAGGAAGAAATTAATTCATATCTTATTTACAGAGATGCAGTCTTTTAAACTGAACGATTGTTCTTCGCGTGTTAATTTTATTCGATGGTATCTACAGTAGGGCGACTTCAAATACCCACTTCTTTTCATACGTGATATTCACTGAGAAGGCTTTATTTGCACATTCGGGTATGTTTAACATCCACAGTTTTCATCTTTGGACACATAATAATGATAGCTAAATGTGAGCACGAGATAATCACGGAAAGGGATCATATGCCTTAATGCCTACGAGGAAAGATTCTCCATTAACTTTTCAGCTAGCATGATACACAACTACTTAATTGCCCGATGCATTCTACCCAGTCGTTTGAACGGCCATTCCTCAGGAATATTTCTGCAAGATATCTTGCAGGAATTTCCTTCCGATGCTCCTCCAGCTTTTCTCATGCGGAAGTGGTTGCAGTACGATGGAGCGCTAGTTCATTTCAGCAGCAAAGTTATACATTTTAGCTACGCTACTTATGGGCCCCATCGACTATACCTCAGCCACTCTGATCTGATTTAACAAACATGAATTTTTCTTCTGAGATCACATTAAGCCATGCTGTATGAAAGTCCCATTGAGTCTAATAAAGATCTGAAGGCCGAGCTGTCAGTTGCTTCTTAAATGTAGTGAAATGATTAAGAACTTTGCTAATGTGCACCATTCTATGCGGCGTAGCCCTGATTCGTGTATTGCTATCTGGCCCATTCGATAACCAATCGCAAAATTTTTAATCTTTAAAATATTTGTTTCATTTCTCTTACCTTTCTTACTTACCTATTACTCATATCGTTCTTACGGAGAAGCGCTTACACGCATTATTTCCGTACACGCAATCCATTACAAATTCTGCTTAGTTTCATTCTACCTGCCTTTACCTTTTTTCTCCGGTATTTTAGAATGATACTGTATACATAGAAGAGAAACGCGGCAACATAAAATTTTAAATTGGTCTAAAAAATATCAAACTTGGGTTGGCGTAGATTGTGAATTTCAAAATTCACGCCAGTTAGAGTTTATTTTCCTAACTTTACCTCATGCATAAGAAAAGAATAACAATTATGTAAGTGAATATGTTTATTCACTTCATTTAAAAATAATAACTGTATTTACGTCAAGCTCTCAACAAAACATAGGAGAAAAACTAATATTTTGAGCAAAGTCCTTTTACTTTAAGCATATCTTTCAATAACTCTGACACTGATGAGATTACTAAAATTTGTAATGGAATGTTTTCCTAAATTTGTCATAATTTCTTCCACTTTATATCTTTTAAAGTAAGTTCCAATTTTTAAAACTTTATAAACTTTCAGATGTGTTTCATGAAACTTACGTATGTGATGTGTCATGACTGTGGTGCTTAAAACAAGATTTAGTACTTAATCCGTTTTCTTTTCGCTACATTTTTAAAAAACGTCGTAGCTGTTCTTAGATTATTCTCTTCCGCATAATCAAAATTTCGTCCGATTATATGATGCCGCTGTGCTGCGCAATGACAAAGCATGCATTTTCTGATTCATTTTCCATCAATTTTGAGTTAAGCAGTAGAGTATCTTCAAACGAAAACATTCTCCTCTTCAAATTAACACCAAAAGACTTTGAACATTTGATCACACATTCCTTAATTATTTTACTTTTCAGTTGTTCAATCTCTGTACTTTCTAACACATTCTAAGCGCTTTATTTCATTCGGCTCGTATAGTAATGATGCTTTAGTAGCAGTTCTTTCAAATAAATCGTTTTTGCAGAATCATTTTCAAGCAATCTAGAAACTGTTCCTTTCGGTTTAAAAAATGATCTGGTAATTTGCATTAATTTACAGCCTGGATATTTTTGTTACCTCTGGTGGCTGTTAAATCGAAAACATTTGTTATAATCATCATCTAATTTTACAGGATACCAGTTTCAAAACTCGCAAATTCTATTTCTCAGATAAGGGGCTCCTGCTATTTTGTTTGTTTTTTAGAGGCGCTTTATAGCATTTAACTGAATATTTGATGTCTGCTACAATCTTTTTGAAAGCAAGTATATTTCAAAGCTTTCATTTTGATTCTCTGCTCAATAGACAATTCTGGTGATATTAGTTCTGAAAATATGCAGCTAGCTGTTAGTCACAAAGGCGCTATGATAACAAAACAGCATGCAGCGTATAAAGGCAACATGACAACATAAGATCTCATGCTGCTTTAATCATTCAGAATAAAACAAAAAAATAAAAAATAAAAAAAAAAAAACCCTCGGTTTTTTTTTTTTTTTTTTTTTTTTTTGTTGGGAATGTTTACTTCATCCAAGATATTTCCTAAAATCTTGCTCCTTTGGCTACTTTCTTTTTCTATCATTACAGTGTGCCTTCGTCTTTCAGGCTTTTGATGACATTTAAGATGTGAAAGCAGTACTTTTCTGGCTCTGATTCAGAGCCCCAAAATGCCTCTGTACAGTCTTTTTACCGAAGAGTACTTTACCTACTATCGGGTAAAAGGCAAGAAGTCATGCTAAATGATGGCAATTGCAGGAATACATAGGTATTCTGCTTTTTTTAATTCACATTTACGTTTCCTCTAAAGAAAGGGATAGAACTTTTGCACACACCTAATAGTTCAAATTCTACATAGAAAGAGTTTTTCTCGGCTACGAAAGCACGACGAAAAAAATTGTAGTTATTAAATCTCGTTAAATAAAGTCGCCGAAGGAATTGCAAAAGAAAAAAAAAAGACTTTGCGCTAATATGTTTGAGTTGTACTGCATTTATTTCGATTTACAAAGCATCTATTTTTCTAACGAATTATAAATATTGTATAAAAATACGATAAATGTAAACCACGGTAGGATTGCTAAACTGCCTAGTGATTAGACTTGGTGTTGAAAATTTAGTTTTACTCTTTTGGTAGACGATCGATAGAAAATATTATTTAAAATGCATTTCTACTTCAAATAATATATATATATATATATAAGAAATTAAAGGGAAGCTTCATAATTTGAACCTGAAAATAAGACCAGTTGAAAATAACTTCACGAAATAGAGTTAACGAATATAAGTAACAAAAAATTATTCTTTTAAACTTAGGTAGACAGTAACAAAATTCCTAAAGCATATAAAAATGCGATAAAGTACTGAACGAGTGAAAATTAATCGCGGTTACGGTTAAACAATATTTCGAATTAATTAAATGTAAATCAAAATTTTGCAAATACTGCAAAGGAAGAGGTGAAAGAAAACTAAAAGAAGGTACATCCCTTTAAGATAAAAGCATGGAAGTGGAAAGGAAGGAAAAAAATCAGAATACACATCCTAAATTTAGAAGGCTGAAATTAAAGCACCAAGAGGTAGAGAAGATTAATTGCGCTACGAGCTAATTAAGCGTTATTGCGAAAATAATCTTCGCTAGCTAGCAGTTAAACCAATATCAAGGGGTTGCCTAACAATTTAGAAAGCCTAGAACAAAACTCTTCAGCAAAAAAATACGGTTAAACACCTGAAGTAATTAAAAAGATGGGAAAAGAGCCGAGAACTAAATTAAGAAAGAAAAACAATAGTTATATGCAAGATTAATTCAAGGAAAATAATCACTACGTATCATTTTCTTTCCCTAAAGGGAAAAGACACTGCACTAAAAAATTCCTTTTATGGTGAATGGACACTAAATATATTTTCTCCGAAGCAAATAAAATGTGTACATTATATTTTAAAACTATCGTAATAACTAGTATGTAAATGGATAAGCATCTAAAACTAACATGACAGACCAAATTCACTTATGAAAACAAGAATGAAAACGAAGAACGTTTAATGAACTAAAAATATTTGAAATAAATCAAATAGTTTTTGTTAATTATGGCATAAATATCTATCCCAAAAGTTCGCGATCTGTTTACGTAAGAAAAACATTCTGTTATGAAATTTCGTATCCTTGGGTTACTGCCAGAGGTTTGATAAGTTTACATATGTAACATTCGGGACATATTTCTACAAGTATAATGAACGCACTCAGTGTCAGCATTTTTTCTATATTATTTTTGTGCTATCACAACTTGGACCTGAGTAATATTTTGCAGTCATTTTTTTGTGCTTGAATCCTCCTCTTTATATCTTTTGCAGCATATACAGAGCAAATATTGAGGGAAATGGAGACTAGACCAGAATTTAAATTAACGGAAACTCAATATACGATCTTGAGACAACGCATGAGAGATCTCTACGATCACATTCGTCTTCATCCTGCCCTTAATCAGAAGTATCTTTGGGTTGGCAAAGAGAGACCTCAAATAGATCCAGATGCTGGAACTCCTCTTCAGGCAGAAAATTTGGTAATAAATTCATTTTCTCTTGGTTCTTAGCAATTTTAATCAAACTAATGCTTTTTTACGATGTCCAATACATATCCACAGTAGCTTAGATTTACAAGATTTGTTTATCACATTCATAAAATCTCGCTCTAGAAAAAGGCAGTTCTTGTCTCCATGGTTGTAAGGGTTCATACTGATAGTTTAAAACTTTGGTATATTATTTTCGCTTGCATTTTGTGATGTTTAAAAAGTGAAAAGCTGGCTTAACTTCTTCAAACGTTTTATTTTTTTCATAACATCTGTGGAAAATACTGCAAAATAGTTTCACAAATGTAAATAACAGAGCATACATAAAGCAAGCAGAGTAAATAATCTTTAGATATCTGTTGCTAAGTTCAATAAAGTTTACTTTATGAAAATTTTATATGAAATGTTAGCAAAGTAATTAATTAGTGATAGCTATGAGGGGTATAAAAATAAATGACAAATGTAAGATATCCGGTTGCAGACTGCCATTTTTACACTAATGTTCTTTCTTTTCAGAAAAATTTAATTGAAGTAACACTTGCTTTGTATATTTTTCGATCACAATTTTTAACATAATTTATATAATAGAAGTCAACTACATTTCGAATGAAGTTAAATTTTCTCTTGTAGTAAAGTCAGAAGTACGCATGAAAAGGAAATAAGGTAAACTAGATGAAATGATATATCGCTGTTTGAGGAAAAGACTAGTTAGAGGGTTAAAAAAAACTTATTTTGTAATAAACTCTAATTATATTAAATTTAGGAACCGTTTTTAGTTGCCCATATATCTACTGATAATACTGATAATACTTCTGAATTAATTCTTTTGGGAGCTGCATAGAAAATTAAACCCATACTGCTTCTGCATCGTAATGCTTGTTACGCAAAAGGAGTTCATCCTCATTAATGGCTGAGCTAAAAATAGGTTTGATTTATCAATTATAAGCGTTTAAGTTTATAAGGTTACACTTGGTCTGATGCTAGAACTTTAGTTCTAGAACCTTGCTAGACAAGTAGTGAATTATCGCCATGTCTGAAACTAATGCGACAGAGACTTATATACATTTAAATAAACTTTTTATTAAACTGAACTTTTAACATAACTGAACTTTTAACATATTTACACGGTTGAATGAAATAAGAAAGAGAAGTCTGTTAAATTTGTTAATAATTTGTCTACTGAATGATTAGAGAACGTGGGATGATGTCTGATTTTGTTATTAAAACAATTCTCTCAAAACCAGGACAATATAAACCTACATTTTATAAATATGAAGAGTAAGAATAAAATTTTCTTTTCAAATGACTGAATTTTCGTTACATGACAATGTTTAGCTGATTTTTTTGTAGATTATAAATGGATTCCGAATTTTTTTATTGATTTATTAGTTTTGTGTACCTAATTAGGTACAATCTGCAATTTAGTAGCTTATAATACGAGTATATTGTATATAGTAGGTCAACAGTGTCATTATAAAAAGTAGCAAAATTCGTTTTCAGTGAAAATTTTCTCTAGCCACGTTAACCATTGTAAAGCGCTCAGCTTTGCATAGTATTAGTTTTCTCATGTTTTACAAACCTGAATCCAAAGCAAATGTTTCATATTAAATGAACTGCAAGCTATGTAATTTTAAAGGTTTTTCCCTTTGGTTTCAGGAGAGAGCAATAAAGTTGCTATTCTTATGACTTGAATAATTATATACTTAGCTTTCAAAATAAGTCTTTCACCAAATATGGTATTCTGAAAGTAGGCACATATGAAAAACATTGAGTCTGATTAATACATGTGCAAATATTTATTAAAAAATATTGAGTCAGATTTGGATTTTATTTAGTGTAGAAAAATGCTCGAATTAGTATCTACTTTAGAAGGAATGCGTTTATAAGGAAACTAACTGCCTTCTTTTCTAATCTGTACATGGGTGCAACTGCAACAATTCTATACTACCAATCCTTTCAATCACTGGGAAAATGAATAAGGATGAACTTGCAAAGCTATGTACTTGAGATAAACTACCAAAACTACCATTTTGTTACTAATGGCATTTAGAAAAGAAGTGATAAAACATGCATGATACTGAATAATAGAAGATACAAAGAAAAATATGAATGAGCGGAAAATGCTAATTAGACAGAGAAGAAATTTTATAAAAAGAGAAAAAAAAAACTAAAACTGACTTTAATCAAAATGGAACTGTAATCCGCTAATTTAAGCTGTAGAGAATTCCATTTCAAAAGCTTATAGAGTCATAAGGATATTTTGAAGCAGTAGGACATGGAAAAAGAGCAATGTCCTGGCCGGAACTCGAACCTGTACCTCTTCAATATGCGCCGAGTGGGGTACTGTTACACCATGAAGGCTTGCAGAAAAGAGGGAGAAAATACCTTATAAGCTTTTCTTCATCAGTAGAAAATAAAAATAGAGGTTTTTGCCTGAAGTTTGAGTATATTAAACTGAGTCAAATTACAGTAAGATAGCAACTGATGATATGTAGTCTTTTGCACAAAGCCAGTTCCTTTGGTTGACATTATTATTAGAGAAGTTAGCCTTTATTCAAATGTCACTTTCAAAATGGTGTCAAGCTGTAGCATTAAGCTTACATAGTTTTTAAGCAAAACGTATGCGTTGTTTTCTTTGGAAATAGGAAGCTTATCATAAAATACTTCAAATAATATAAAGCTAGGAATACTTAATTATGTTTTGGAGAACAGAACCAAAAAAATGTTAGGGAAGAAATACTGATTATTGAAATTGACTGTATTTCCAAAATTTTGAAGATCTGGTTGGATGTAGCAAAATATGATCGAAACGTAAACAACCATTGAGGTGGAGAAAATTCAACCAAATTTTGCTAGTGATATTCCTTTTAAACTCGTATAAATGATAACTTATATCTTACTAAGCACTTTCCTGGGAATCTTAGTAATGGAAGCACTCGTGAACGTATGAAGTTTATCATATGACAAAGCATTCTTTTGTGAAATAATTAAGAGAAAGTCAAAAATTCACTGGCGTTCAGCTAAACATAGTTTTCACTATTTAACTTCTCAATATCGTTGCGAAAGAAATGAAACTGCTTTTAAAACTGATATCAGGTCTTAATCTGACAGCTTTAACAGGAAAAGCATGTCGGAGAAAACTTTCAAACTACCATATCATAGTTTATATATGAAGAAATGCGAAAGCATAATTAAGAGAAAGTTTTTTACCCAAGATCTGTCAATGCTGTATACGTCGAAACACCTGTTTGGAGATAGTAACTAAATACTAATATGGAAAGCACTATTTTTGCTAATAGCAAAGATAAATTACGAATGCACTTTTTTTTACTTAAAATAGGAATGCATTCATGAATCTGTTAGTTAAAGGCAAAAATACCTTCTTATTGTGAACATTTGCGGAGTTCAGCCGAAAATCAATAACCTGCAGAATATGAAGCTTCTTTTTTTCTTCCCTGAACTGAACCTACCGGGCATATGTATAATTAGCAATCTTAAATGTCATTATCGAAAACTTGTATTCTTGAAAACCATTCTGAACTCAGAGGGAAGATGACGACTGCAAACGTTTCATTAGAGGACATTCGATTTCTCGATAAAAATTGGCAACGTGTGACAGAAAAAGCGATTCGCAGCTGTGTCATTAATGGTACACTGAAAACATTTCTCCAGATTGACGATATGAGCTAATCGCTTCTCAAAGACAACCTGCCTCTTTCAGGATGTATCGAAAAATTTTCTGCATTTCAAACAATAATTTGTTGGAAATTAGGTAATTTTGCAAGCTCAAGTCGTATCATAATTTTGAAACTTATTAGTTAATGTGATTTTATATCTGTATAAAATGTATACAGAGGATTTGCTAAAATAAAAAAATAACTTCTTGAATGAAGAAATGAAAATCCAAGCTGCAATAGGAGTTACGAATTCTTGCAATAACCATGACACTGGTGATTTTTCGCAATAGAACGTTTCTGAAATGAAGAGTCCAAATGTAAAAAAAAAAAAAAAAAAAAAAAAAAAAAAAAAAAAAAAAAATTAAGACTGAATAATATAAGGAGAGAATATATTAATGGTGTAAATCAAGCATTTTTTATAAACGTCATGTTCCATTGTTTCATGATACTCAGTTGGATCAATCAAATTTACTTTCTTCATAATATCCATTTTTACGGTTTTAGGTTTGCTAAGTAAGGAGCAGAATTATCGTCAATAGATAAGAGGGCAGGTATTCACATATGCTTTTGTGTTTCCACTAAGCAGAATTCATGGCATACTAAGATTTTGAAAGATTAAGATTTACTAATCTAGTCATACAGTAGTAAAATATTAATTACACAATATTTTCAATGTGTGCTTTTGATATCAATAAAACCATCTTTATCTCTCTCTGAAATATGAGATTTTCCTTCATCTTTAGTAACTAAATTCTTCCGTAAATATTTTCGTGAAACTTTCTTGTTGTGTGACAGAACTTAGGTCATTGAAACAAATGAGTTTGGACTGTTCAGCTGTACTGTATTACTGCACTGTACATCACGTTCCTTTCAAAAGCGAGAAAATTTTGTGTGTCAAATAATGACCAACAATTTCCAGCTTCGTCAGCTTTGGTTGAAATATATATTGAATTTGGTTTGAAATATGGTTTGAATCTACGTAGTTGAGTCTATGATACGCACGGTAGGCAAAAGACACATCACATAGTTTTTGAGAAATCGGCATATTTAAATTATCTTACCATTTATTGACAGAATTGCTTAAGCTTTTAAAAGTGATAGCATTTTTGAGATTTTTATATGTATGTAGATGAACGCATAGAATATGGACTAATATGTGATAAAGATATACAGGGTATTTCAAAAAGCCTGGATTGTTAGTAATTCTTGAGCGACTGGTAGTAGATCCACGATTCCAATTTAAGAGATAATTAATAAAAAAAAGTTAGACTTTCAAATTATGCCAGTCTTGTTCATGAACTGGATTCATGGACATGGGATTAATTGAAAATATACAAAATTAAAATTTTTATGCTTTCTTTCTTCATAGGAAAGTCTAATTAGTAAGATTTTCCTTACTATATGAAAGCCATTCTTTGTACCTTTGTTTTGGTTTTTCTGCAGTATGCAAAACTGACTTTGGGGGGGGGGAAGAATTTCAGAAATATATCATATAAACCCTGTTTTTAGCTAGCTGAAAGAAATCGTGAAAAATTTCGATTTCGGAGGTCACATAAAATTTAATTTCATTGCACAAAGTTTATTAGCTTTACGTTACTTAAAAATGAAAAATTTTAACTTATGTTTATGTTTTTATCTTTATCTAATGTGTTAAATCTCTTAAAAATTTGTATTCGGAAATTCATATTTCCGATTTAGATTTTCAATTTGTGTCTAAAACAGTTCGTGTATAGCTCCAGATTCCTCTGTGAAAAGTTTTTGATTGCCGTTATCTTAAATAATTTTATTTGTATAAGGAGGGTTTTCCTTTTTTACTAATTCAGCTATAATAAAAAGATAGTTAAAGATTTTTTCTAAGGGCCCATATGAAAAATTTTATTTTTGTATATTTTTTCCATGTTACTACTTTACTAAAGTTGTCATTATTTGAAAGTCTATATTGTTTGATTCCTTTCTCGAAGTGGAAATACAAGTCTACGATCAATCATTCAAGATATAATAAGAAAATTTCTATATACTACTGAGATATTAAGATATTTTTCCAAAAATAATTTTTTTCCTGAGTTAATTTATTTTAATACGAGTGAAAAGGGTAGAGCTGTCGTTGATTTAGTCGCTAGAATCGTAACAGGGAAAACATCCATTGTTGTTATTTATTATATTTCAGGAAAAATAAGTACGCACAGTAACCTGGATAAAAATTTTCCCACGATACATAAAAATATTAAATTCATCTTCACATTTTTTTAAACTGTATTTTGAATTTAACAAATTAATTTTTATGTTAATTTAATTAAATTGTATTTTTAATCAATGTTTGATTGTTATCAATTTTTGTATAGATCAGAAGCAGCTCCAAAAGAAAGCGTTATTTAAACAACGATTCGGATGACGGTGATATCAAGTCTGATCAAAAAAGGGTAAGTTTTCCGGCTGAAGAGATTTGCAAGACGAACCGCCTATGGGAACAAATTAACAATACTCACGATTTCTACGATAATGAAGTTCAAGTTATTCAAGACAGTGTTCAGCAATATGTCTTTTCGTACAGATGCGTCACAGAGACTGGGCCTTGCATCGGAATATCTCCTTTGTAAGTAGAAGACTTCAATTTACTGGACTCAGTCTTTTTGTATCATCAAAATATGATTACAAAGATAATTATTTCTTCGAAAGGAAATAAACAAACCTTTATGTACTTTTAATAATGTTCGTTTTCTTACTGAAATTTTTATTGTTACCGATGTTAAGGCCATTCATTTCAGCTTTATAACAAGAGCATGTTCTTCTGCTCCCTTATATGGCTTTCATTAAAACTGAAAATTACTAAATATTGTACTTTAGCTAGGTATTATGGTCAGCTTTACTACCATTGAGATTTTACTACGCGTGTAAAATTATTCTAGGAATCAATATTTTTCTTTGATAAAAGTTAATTATCCTGCTTTTGCAAAGAAATTTTTTTCTGTTCTTTTTTATAAAAACTATATCTTGGAAAGTAGCCATTTCAGTTTCATGCGGTAAAAATTACTAGGTTCGTGAAAATGAAATCTGCATAAAATTTCTGAAGAGAATGAACAAATATGACGGAAGCCAAATCGAACAGGGCAATGTAAAACCATACGAATAAATTGTTAGAAAAATAAATAAATAAAATCCACATTATGTCATCAACATCAGTTTGAGGGTTGGTAAGGAAAATAAGTTTCTGATATTAACTTTTAAATTATAATTAATGTTTATTATATTCTCTTTGTCGACAGTAAAAGAGGTACTACTGCTTCGAACTATTGAGGATGGAAACAAATAATTATTGAAGAAATTCATCCAGTTAAACTACTTTTTATTCATATATTTGGAGATTATGTGATACATGATATCATATACTTGGAGTTAAGGAATATAGCTTAGACTAAATAAGACGTAAATTTTTGGAAAAGTGAAAAGACGAAAGTTTCAAATAGCTATTCATGCTGTCACTTATGTAGAGAGATTGATAAAAAGAAGGATGGATTTTTGGAAGTTTTGAATTTAAATGCAGACATATAAATAACTTGTAAATTTATTGCAATCTTTACTTATAATTTTTCTTAATCGTTATTGACCAAATTATAAATTTTTCTTTATTCGGCAATATAGTTCAATAGCGTCAAATGCAACCTTGTCTGGCATCTTGCCAAAGCATTTAAAATCGTTCAGAAGGGATGTTAATTAAGTGTCACAGAGTGAGGTCAGAGTGAGAATTTATTGTCGCAGGAGGAAAAGTCCCTGAGTCATGGATGATCCTGTTCTCAGTTGTCTTTGGCGCCTTTGTTTAATATTCTTATATTATTAGAAATAAACCTCGAAAATTCGCATTGATGTGCAACGTTGGAAACCAAAAATGTTGACATTGGTTTCAAAATACATGAATTTTAATTAATTTTTAATATGTCATTGCTTTCTTTTAAAAAGAAGATCACTAAAAATAAAGTAACTATATTTTTAACGGAAATTTCCTTTTTGTAGTTATAAGTGTATAGTTCTGCAGTTATTTAAAAAAGTCAACAAGTATCTACCCCATCTGAGCGGGGTCTTCCCTGATCGTAGTTGTTTTAATGTGATATTTGCCAATTTTTGTGATCTTTTTTATGCAAGAATTATTTTCGTTCGTTTCCTCTGAAATAAATTGGTTTCCACCCCACTTCAACCATGTATAATAACGCATATAGATTTCAGTTCGAAAAATCAAAAATAAATATAATAAATATTATAGTTAATCAAATAACTGTAATAATTATTATTATATTAGTAATGCAATACTGGTTTATTATCCCAAAATTATTGTAATCAGTTATAATAATATTATATTAGAATTCATTCTATTGATGCAAATTTTATAAATAAGTAAAGTAATTATATTATTATTTACATAAAATAAGTAAACCGTGCAACAATAAAATAAAAAAATTAATTATAATAACTATTGTTATACAATAATAGTTATATATAATAGTTATTTATTACACTTTATTGTAAAATTACACACACACACAAATCTATCTATCTATCTATTTCTCTCTCTATATACTATATATAAAAGTAGTAAGACAACAGGAATTAGAGAAACCTTAGTGGTCAAGAATTTGCGCATTGAGCTGCAAATGTTTTAAAAATTTTATAAGAGGAATGTTTAAAAGCTAATGCTATATATATATATATATATATAATATATATGTATGTGTGGAATTTTATGATAAATTTGCTATATATATACATACATACATATATAGCAAAATTAGCTTTGAAAACGCTCATATTTTTACTAGTATGTAAAAAATATATAAATACACAAAATGAAAACAAGGTAATCAGTTTGTAATTAATTACAAATGATGATCACCATATTATCTTTACTTAAAAGTAATTTCCTGCCTTCTTAAATCGGCACTCTCTGATGAATACAGTGAAATAAACAGGGAAAAAATAAGAATGAAAAAAATCTCTACTAATATGATTCCTCTTCTATCCACCCTATTTCGTCAATAAATCGGTCCGAATGGTGCATGCGTGTTTGTTTTTATGGTCGCGGCTGTCGCGGTTAAACTATACTTGTTTGAGGCATTGGTCTATTCTTGGTGGCTGTAAGCGAAGGGAAATAAAACGTTTTCTACGTAGAGTTGTTTCATTTGAAAATTAAGTATAAAATTTTAAGTACATTTTTTTAAACGTTCACAAATGTGTGAAACATGATTATTCACTTGAAATGTAGAGTATACCTTATTGAAGTGTATAATTATCTTTATTTACCAGCATAAAGTATTTCATTTTACAAAATGCAAACATTAAAAAAAAGATAATATTTATAGTTTTACAGATAATAGTAGTTACAAAATTTACAGATAATAGTAAAGCAACATTGATCAAACCATGTCATTTAAACCATCAGAAGGTAAACTTTTATGGATTATATGGTAGATAAAGATCTCAAACAAAGTAACTTTTATGCATTTCATAGACATATAGCATTCTTATTAAGAGGTATGAATGAGTGAAAATTTTCTTGTTCACCTGAGTTTCCGAGAAAATGCAAAGCGGAGATTAATCAGTGGCATAACTAAATTACTGCGCTACTTTTCTTGATTTGAAAACTCGAAATACTCGACAAAGCTTAATGCGAATGTTAAATAATGTGCCTAATTTTTAACATTATTTCGAGCTTAATTTTATCATTGGTCAGATTAGATGGGAAACTCTGGTTAGGTGATTATATGGAGAATTAAGTACTGCATATTTTAAATTAAAAAATATTTTCCATTTTTTTTTGTGTTCCCTTCTGATACGTTATTTTAAGTTGCACTACAAAGACATTTATCTTCTACGTGGCTCAGAAAAATGCCAGTTCTCAGACTATTGCTTCTTGACTTGATATAATATCTTCAGTTTATCTTTCAAAATGAAATAAACAATGCTTAAGTAAATCAACGATTTAAAAGCAATGAACGCATTTATTTGTAATTTATATTTTTATTTTTTAATGATATAAACTCATTTTAATACTTATTGATGAAACTCACTAAGCATATAATCTGTATGATTTATAACATACCTAACTGGTCATTTTTATAAAAATTTACCCCATTATTGTAACTAATAAAATACGTTTCTAACCCTACACATTATGCATCTCAGTGCAGATTTAATGCTTGCACTGCACCTAAATATCGAGGTTTTATGTAATACGATTTCTGCTACTGTTACTAGGTTGCCGCATATCTTCTCATGTCTCCGATAGAAATCAAGCGGAAGTCGCGTCATGTAGGAGCTCATTGGGTAGGAATATTTTTAAGGCTTATAAGCTATTTCGGAAGCATTTTGGGTTTCTTAGAAGTTTCCGCTTATGTTTTTCAATTGCAATTTTATTAATGTCGCAACTTCTATATAATCGGAAATGAAGAAAAACTTGTTCCTAGCTCACTTCTCTTCTTTCAACCAACTTTCTTCTACGTCAAGTATTACAACTTCTACTTCGTTCATCACTGTAATAGTAACGCTTTGGTAAAGTTAGATGGAGCTCTAACCAAACTACAGTTAGCCATAAATGTTTTGCTAATTCGTTCCTTTTGATGGTCTGCACTGACACTAATGCACTTTCTAAGCTTAGTGTGTGACGTCAAAAATTTATTCAACGTACAGCAAGCATCACTAAGCTTCATTTATCTACTTCAACGATCGATCAGAAGAGAAGTACGCCTTTGGATACCGCTTGCTGTCATATGAATTTCTCATTACGCTAGCAACCATTTTGATACATATTGCTGAGAAGAGCTGACGGTTTATGCTAAACGTTTACAGACCTCTTGATAAACCAACACTTCTGATCTTAAGTCTTTGAAAATAGTAGATACTTTGCGCGTTGACGAATTTGAAGCGTTGCACTATCAAACCAAAACATTTAATTCATTATCTGATACAGGAAAAAATGTATATCCGCTCAGACTGTCGAAGCATTTATTTCCCTGCTACATGTCATTAACTGATGATGTACTTATAAATTTGAAAATATGCATGTCGTAATTAAGCCTGAAATTCAGTATGCATAACCTTTCGGCTTTTCGTTTTTGGTGTTGCAGTTTTCATGTTGAGCAGTGTCGTAAGAATAAGCTAAGTTTTCTTTCTTTTAGTATAAATGGTTTATAATCGTAATGCTTTATAATTGTTATATTACAAGAACTATTCTTTTTTACGATTTTTCTATACACCTCAATCATGGCATTCTAAGCGATCGATATGAATTAAAATCTGCCTGCTTGTATAGTGCTTTTAAAAATGTTTACATAATTTAATATTTCTTTCGAATTCGTGCTACAATGACATTCACGTTTTCGAATTTGTTATTTCCTGTTGTTTGCATAATACAGATACACTTGGATGTAAGAATATCTGTGAATGTTGCCATGATTGCGAAAGAGGAAACTGATTTCTCCTATTCACTGACTTTCAGAAAAAATTTATTTGTTTAAAGCATTACATTGCACCAGTAAAAGAATTTTTATATTCATAATTCATTTAACTCCAAAAATTTTCAAAATATCAAATTAAAATTACGTTTGT